AAAAGTAATAATATGTATTCTTATATAGTCATTATTAATATTCCAATTTTAAAATTAAATTATGTATAAAATAAGGCCTATATGCCTAAATGAAATACTTGCTCTTATAATTATTACTTTTATAATATTTTAATATGTAATTTATAAATGTAATTGCAATGCCCCAACAGGGCTTATGTACATATTGGCATTGTGTTGTTTTTAAGATCTTTCTCACCAAAATTGTACATACTGCAGAAATAAATAAATAAATAAATATATATAAAATATTGCTAAGGTCACGATAATTTTCGTCCCTTTGTTTTCAAAAATGATCAGAATCGAGAGTAGTGTTGCCTAACGTATACATCACAAAATGTTAAATTTGGCCAAAGAAATGTACAAGCGGCCCAAAGCGGCCGTAACTCGAAACTGAATGCATTGTACAAAAGTGCGGTCGTTCGATATTCATGGCGTATTAACAAAAGATTACAAATATATCGCACCAAGTAAAAGTGGCAATGTATTACGAAACATAAGGTATACACTCGGTTGCATATTTGTTTTCTCGAAATTAATACAAAACCAAAATATTTGTTTTTAAAATAAATTATGCATCTTCTGATTACAAAATCACTTGCCCGTGGAAGGAATCGTCCCGTTTAACCAGTTTGCTCACGCACCATAAAGTGCTTTTGCAGTTTGTAATGGCACAATTATGCATTTTTTTGGCGTTTTCGATCTACGATAACGGTCGAGCGCGTTCTGAAGTGTAGCAGCGGCAAGTAAGTGAATTTCAATTACCTTGGGCACGCGAAGTACGTACATTTGCGGCGTCTATCTAGATTGATGTCTGTGCACGGAACGAACCAGCGAACCTCACGAATTTTTCTATGTGCTTTTGTTTGTATTTCATCATTATCAACCGTATTATCAGCCGGGGCTGATAGCTGTAAAGGTATCTATAACTATAACTGGGTATAACTGTATAACTGTGGTATAACTGGGTGACAAAATACTTTCATAGATTTCTCATAGATGGAGCTACGGCTAAAAGTCGTTGAAAAACCAAATATAATATAAGTATAAGGATACGACAACAATCACATAGAAAAATTCGTGAGGTCCGCTGGTCCGTTCCGTAGCTTAGTTGGCGTAGCGTCTGGCACGGTTTGCTAGAAGACGCCGGTTCGAATCCGGCCGGATCGAAGGAATTTTTTCTAAGTGTTCGATCTTTGTATTAATAATTATAACATTAATAATAATTTAATTAGTATATCATTTTAATTCTAGGTGAAGGTGTGGTTCCAAAACAGAAGAATGAAATGGAAGAGGACCAAAGGAAGTAAGCATCTCAAGAAGAAAGATTAGACAAGAGACAGAGGGAGAAAGAAATAGTCATATGGAACTTATTATTATCCTTATTATTAATTATTAAATAAATAACGCACACACTCAACATAGCCCCGCACTAGGGAAACCCTGTGTCGCGGGTGCCATGGACACATACATAGACAACCACAAATTACACCCAAACTCTGGAGAGAAATAATTGTAGGCCATACAACTATTTCTCTCGGCCCGGGAATCGAACCTGGGACCTCTGCGTGGCAGTCCGGCATGGTAACCGTTCGGCCACGGAGGCAGTAATTATGAGAAAGTGTGCGTCCCTACACGGCACGCGACGGGCGTGCGTACATACAAACCGCGCTGCTTAGTTTGTATGAAGTTACCATATTTGTCTGATTATGCTATGCTAGTATCTGTATGCTAGTATATGTATCGTTGGTTTCAACTAAAACTAGTTGAAAAGGTGGTTCTTTTGCAGATTATTTGAGGCATTTTAAAGGGTACAAGTAATTTAACAATAAGTGTAAATATTCACTCTTTCTGTCACGAATATTCGAATTATTCGGAGAAAGAATGAATTGTGATTCGATAAAAACACCAATAATGTTTTTCAACTATTCTTCTGAAGTTCATTAGTCTCTGATATGTGTTTATCAATATTTTCTTTATTTTAATTTCAATTACATCTAATTATATTTAATGTACGTAAGTACGTATCAAAGGATTTTCGGTCTTTACAAATAAATTTAATATTTTTAAAATAAGTATACTAATAATTTCACATCACTAACTCGGAAAGCCTTTTTCCTCATCAGAAATTTAGAACGCATCTGAATGTAAACTTTTTCTTTTGAATAAAAAAACTGATGCTTTATTCATCAAGTTCTTAAATTTTCGCGATTGTTACACATAGGATTGTTACACAATATATACGCATATTTGCGTACTGTACCACCTCAGTCAACCGTGACCATGGGACCACGAAACGTCGGTTTGTTTGAAAAAACAAATATACGCGATTTAAATCCGGAAAAACAGTTTCATTTCCTGATGTTTTATTGTTCAAGTGTTTTCCTTTCACCTACCATTTTCCTCGCTATAGTGAGGTGAAAAACTGTGTGTATCGCTCGGCAGCAAAGTTGTTTTGCGTCTCGTGCCTTGAAACCCTCACTACGCTCAGGATTCTACTTATGAACTACGAGCGAAACGAATCTTGGCTTCTTCAGGTTTCAATACAAGCACTATCGTCAAACAACAACTTTGGAGCCTTGCATAACAAATATCTATTGCGAATTAATATATCTTTTAATATTTATGCGTTTTTTCATCCAAACAACATAAATTCATTTTAAAATTTCTGTACTTTGTTTGTTCTCTTTGCCGTGGTCTTACAAGTATACTAGATGGTATAGAATTTTGTTTTTACTTTGATCTACTTACATTACAGACATCATATGTACTAAATACATTATACAACTCTAAAACCTATTTACAATTACAATTTACTCCTACGGCTGTACTTATATTCACACTGGCACACGAACCTATATTACTCGTATTATCCTAAAGGTTATTTATTATGTTCTTAGTTTTGAGTTAATCTGTATTTGTGTCATATTAGTGAATTAAGTGTTCATCTATTTAGACATATCTATATTGTTAACATTAATATTGTTGTTGTCAATAATGAGTTTTATATTGAGACTAGGTTTAACGTGGGCTCCACTATTTTCTCTTACTTTCTTATGTGTTAAACGTAGAGATAAAGTTACAATACAATTTACTGCCTCATCGTAACTAACATCTATTAAGGCCTGTTTGAAATTTTGGTTTAAGTACATAATATTGTTGTTAAAAATATACAAGTTTATGTGTTTTTTTTATTTGTTATAATTATTAATACGAAGATCGAACGGTTAGAAAAACAATCCTTCGATCGGGTTGGATTCGATCAATCCAATAAACCGTGTCAGACGTTATGCCAACTAAGCCACAGAACGAACTAACGGGAATTACGAATTTTTCTTTGTGCTTGTTGCAGATCTTTTAACGACTTTTTGCCGTAGCGCCATCTATGAGAAATCTATGAAAGTATTTTGTCACCCAGTTAGATACCTTTACAGCTACCAGCCCCGGCTGATAATACGGTTGACAATGATGAAATACAAACGCAAGCACATAGAAAAAATCGTGGGGTTCGCTGGTTCGTTCCGTACACAGACATATATCTAGATAGACGCCGCAAATGTACGTACTTCGTAGCGCCATCTATGAGAAATCTATTTCTTCACTCAATCAGGTTTCAGGTCATCTTTACATTCAATTATTATTATTTTTTAATTACTCCACTAGTTTCTTATAATTATTACTACAAACATCGAACACTGAGGTTCGTATTCCAGAACTCTACTCAACGCTCAAGTCAGGACTTGAGTATGATTTCAGGCAGTGGAAATCATACTCAAGTCCTTGCCATTAGGGTCGTATTTCCAGTGCTTGAAATCATACTCAAGTCCTGACTTGGGCATTGAGTAAAGTTCTGAAATACGGCCCTTAGAAAAAAATCCTTCGATCCAGCTGGATTCGTACCAACGTTTTATTTTAATTAAGAATAATTTAATATCATTGTGGCGAAACATATTCAATAAACTTGATTACACTTATATAATGTATGTCAATGCTTGTTTTAACTCTCAAGTAATGATTATTTTTTGGTCATTGCCATTGCCACTATACTATGTTCTGTTTTTATTTATAACAAATCGTGTAAACATAAGAAATATATTTATTTAGAATCGATACTTATGTGTTTCGTTTTAATTCGTTAATTAAATATCTATAAACACCTTAAAATAGTAGCTTCTTCAAAGAATTTTGTATTTTCCAAGGGATATTGATGAGTATGGAAATGGATTATCTTTTGGAGTGTTTGAAGTAAATCAAATAACTGAAGTTTAAAATAGCAATTTGATGCACCAAACTTTGAGTTGTGTAAGGTATATTTAAATTTTGATAATGACTCCCTTTATTGTGCATTCACCACGTGCCCATCATAATAATATTTATTTAAGTTGAGGATTAATTTTATAAAATATATTTAAATCACATATTTCCCGAAAATAATTCATAGTGTTAGTAATTTACAAAAATATGAAGACAAAAAATTTAAATAAAAAAAAAAGGCGTCAAAAGCAAATTATTTAAATTTAGAATTTTAAAAGAAATGTAGCAACTGCTGCAGTTCGAGACATGATACTGCCTCCGTGGCCGATCGGTTACCATGGCGGACTGCCACGCAGAGGTCCCAGGTTCGATTCCCGGGCTGGGAGAAATATTTGTATGGCCTACATTTATTTCTCTCCGCCAGCCGTAACTGCGTTTCAGTTTTGAAGGGTAAGGTTGCTGGTGAAATTACAGGCACATGGGATTTGTCAACTATATGTCTCAGGATGACGGGTGCAGTGGCGACACTCGTCAGATCTTTGCAATTTGAAGCTCTGAGTGGCACTGCAACTGTTAGGGTTATGTGTGTCGCTTACCACTGCGCACAACTTGTTCATCCCGCCACTTTATAACATATCACACGTTTTCAATGAGTACAGCTTGTAATATATTTACAATTTGTATTAGTATATAATTGCTATGCAATGCACCACTCGGCATTTCTCTACGAGATCGAATCAGAGATGAGGAGATCCGTTCAAAGTTAACGAAATTCACCGATATAGCTCAAAGGGTTAGCAAGTTAAATTGACGGCTGTTGGGGTAGAAAGGTTCTCGAATGGAGATCACGAACCGGAAGGCGTTCAGTGGGACTGCCCCCTACTTGATGGACGGATGACCTGGTAAGGGCGGCGGGTAACCGATGGCACGTTGCGTCCGTTCTGCTAGTCTGGCAATCTTTCTGGGAGGCCTATGTTCAGCAGTGGACGTCTTCCGGCTGATATGATGATGATGACGATGAATGTCAAATGTATTTATATATTTATAAGGGCGTTAAAATCGATAGACTTTTTCAAAGTTATAATTTTTGTTGAGTCACGTTTTCTACATTATAAAATATGTGTATATTACCAGTTAAACGCGATTGCTATTACATACTAATTAGAATAATAATTAGCAACTAAGTATATCAATATAAACCTGTATACAATCAAGTGATAAGTGATGACATAAAGTATTTAAACGGTGTTGTGTAGTCTGTACAACTTATTTACCTATTACCATCACTTGCACCGTGCATAAGCAAGTAAGGTTTATTTAAAAATGAGTGGAGATTTTCCATTTGAAATTACACCTTACACTAAAGAAGAGCACGAGACTCTGAGGAAAATCTATACACGTAAGTAAAATACCTTATTACATCGAACTACAAAGTACATTTTTCTAAATAGTGTGTTCAACTACATTTGAAACCTAATTGCTGTTGTCCGTACACCTGTTTAGTAGTTTCACGGATAATATTAGAGCAAAGAGTTATTATGGGAATATCTAATAAGAGTCAATTTTTTAAACCCCCGACGTAAAACGTATAACGCCCAACGCGTCCAGTAATGACGCTCCTAAGGCTGTTTCCCACGGCCCGTTTTTCAAAGGCAAAACAGGCGAGCTTGCGCCACGGGCGACACACACTGGGTCTGGGTTGAATAAATAAATATATATATATGCGTAGTCGTAATTATTGTGAAGTTAGGTTTTTACGTTAACTAATAATTCTTCCGTAACGTACGTGAGTTTATGTGTAATTTTTAGACATTTATTTCTTACGTTTGATATTTTATTTATTGCCCGTCTATGGAGAGGTCCCAGTGTGCGACGTGAGTGGTGGCGCGTATTCAGGTGTGTTTCATGTGACACACGGCGGCGGTCCAAAAACCGAGCGACTGCGGCCCTGTTCCCACGGGTGGCGTGTTGTTGGCGCGAGCTCACGCGGTGCGGCCCGTAGGAAAACGGGCCGTGGAAAGCCGTCTTTAGAACGTTGTTGAGGTTATAACGCTACTGTAGCACATCGGGAATGTTCGCGAGTGGAACCTTCAGTGCCGTATTGCTGCGGAAGCTGGTAGTATCCCTGATGCGTAAGGCGCAAAGGAGCACCAACGGTCTCCTACGGACGTTGTTGGTCGTGAGGGGAGATGGACTAATACTGTGTCAATCTGTCAACATGTCAAGTGTGTTAGAACTGTCCTTAGATACTTCGAAATGTAGTTTACTGTTTGTGAGTTTTACACAATAAGGATATTTATAATGTAGGTAAATTATTATTATTATAATTATAACTTTTTTTATAAATAAACACTGATGTCAAACTCAACTACGCAAGGCTCCGAGTACTCAGAATTTGAAGAAAGCTTTTAATAATGCCGCCAAGAAATGCGAAAGCGTGTTACGTAGGGCCAAGTTCGACCATGTGCGCCGCAAAGGAACCAAGCTTACATCTTATCCAGCAGGCAGCAAATCCTTGGCCAAAGAGGTCGAATCCAACTTTTGTCGTCCATTTGCCACGTCTGCTGAGGCCCAGGCTTGCTGGCTCATACTGCGGAAGAGAAGGCGAATCTCTTTGCCTCACTCTTTGCAGATCGCGTCTAGATGCCGCAGGAAACGTACCACCTACTTTACAGGGTACGCTATGGCGCCAGTTCGCTTACGGCATATAGAGGTACTTAGAAGTCTGCGAAATCTAGACGTGAATAAAGCTAGCGGGCCAGATGGAATTCCAGCAACAGTCCTGCGTAACTGTGCGCCTGAGTTGTCTCCTGTTCTCATACGCCTGTACCGCCTCTCACTTGAGACTGGTGTAGTTCCCTGATCGTGGAAACTTGCAAACGTGCAACCTGTGCCAAAAAAAGGGAAGTAGAGCTGACCCTTTCAATTATAGACCTATCTCAGTCACTTCCATACTCTGCTAGACTATGATATGTGTACTCAATAACCGTCTCCTATCGTACCTTGAAGACAACGACCTCCTCAGTGATCGCCAGTACGGATTCCGACGAGGGCGATCTACTGGGGATCTTCTTGTGTATGCCTGCCACATATGGAGCGAGGTTATAGAAAAGCAAGGCGAAGCACTTGCAGTGTTTTTGGACATTTCTAAAGCCTTTGAAGTAAGCTTCCCTCTTATATTAGCCATATGTTCGGAAGAGTAGCCACTCTTCAGAACATATGGCGATAGATACCGGAGTTCCTCAGGGTTCTGTACTGTCTGCAACTCTCTTTCTGCTGCATATCAATGATATGTTAATTCCAGGTACCTTTGCGTATGCTGATGACAGTACAGTTGTAGATAGGTACTTGACTAATGCACGGGTCAGTGGAGAGGAAATCCAGTCTTGTCGAGAGTCCATGGTTAGCTGTTTAGATTTGACACTCCAGACAGTCTCCGAGTGGGGCAATGCCAATCTTGTCAAATTTAACGCTACCAAAACGCAGGCGTGTCTCTTCTCCACATAGCGGAATCCCTTCCCTTTAACTCCGACTTTTCGTGATGTATCCATACCGATAGCCGACTGTCTCCAGCTACTTGGAATGGACCTGTCGTCCAATTTGAACTTCGGCAGATACCTTGAAACCATGGCCAAAAATGCAGCAGAGAAGCTTGGGATCCTTTCCAGGGTGAGGCGTTACTTCTACACCGGTACAGTTGCTTCAGCTGTACCAAGCACAAGTCCGATCGTGCATGAAGTACTGCTGCCACCTTTAGGATGGGTCTGCTACATATCAACTGGCCACTTTGGAATCAATTGACAACCGTGGCAAGAGGCTTATAGGTGACTCGGAATTAGTGGAGGCAAAGCTGCAGAGCCTTGAACACCGGTGTAAAGTTGCCTGCTCATCGGTATTTTACAGGATATATCACGGAGAGAGGCGGAATTACACAATTTAATTCCGCCTTCCCCTTTCCATCACTTACTTTCCAGCCCTATGTTGTGGATATTCCAAAGATTCGCACGAAGCGTTACGCTTCCACATTTTGTATGGCGAACGGCTATGGAGTGGAATTCCCTGCCTGCAGATTTGTTCCCTGAACGTTATAAACTTGGGTCTTTTCAAGGCGAGAGTGAATAGGCATTATTTAAGTGTGCAAGCTCCATCGTCGTCCTCATCGTCACTTTCTATCAGGTGAGATGGAGGTCAAATGCGCACTTATATTTTATAAAAAAAAACCTCAAAAGTTCGCGGAATTACATCTATTTGCCAAGTTTTATTGAAATCGGTTACCGGAAAATGCGCGACATTCATCCCCTAGTTTGTTACTCTTAGTAGTGGATTATTTTCTTCAAATTTATATAGGACTATTACTGAGGTACCCTCTTTCCAAACAAAAAAAGAATCAACAAACCCGGTTCATAAATGCCGGAGTAAACGCGTAACATATTTTTTAAATTTATATATGGTAACCATAGTTATAACTATTTCATTGATATTACCCCTATTCTATTATTGTGTAGCCAAAACCTGTTGCTTGTTAATCTATAATATTGAAGTGTTGTGTCGTCACTGCACATCAGTGAAACACAGCGTGTGTATGGAAGGCAGCATCTGGTACGCTAGTACAAAGATACCTATCGTTGGTAATTAGTTATTTATTGTAGTACTTATATAATCGATTTACAAGCTCGGTGGGCTGTAGCGGACGGCGTGTTCGCAACCTTTTTGCGGTCCCCGGAGCGCGCACTCTACAGGGTTACAATGCGCCAACGTGGGGTATTGAGAGCCCGCGGGTAATGAGAGCGGTGTTAAACTGGACTTTCCCAATGCTCGTATTTGTGCAAACGGCACTCCTATGTCTTCGTTAACGTTCGATAAGGTTCGAGTCCAGTGGGCGCCCCCGTAGAACCCCGCGTTTAGTCGTATGAGATGGTTGTGTGTTTTTCGCTCCGAGCTTATAAAATTTCCTAAATTTCATCATCCCAGGTAAGCATTAAAATGCATAGATACTACATTGTATTTACACTAGCTATGTCACCAAATCTATCAAATTTTAGAAGTTATGCTTCAAATTACAATAAAAATAGAAATGTTTTTACTGTTTTATTCCTTTTTCAATTCGATGTTACGCGGGTAATGAGAGCTATTTGGCTCTCCTTATCCCATTGCAATATTTACTTATACATATATGAATATATATGGATGTTCCTTAAACACTTTCTTGTTTATTTTCTTTTAATTTTATTACTTTTTAACTTATATATTTTATTACTTTAATTTTTTTTTCAGACTGATTATATGTAATGGCTCCCATTTGACATACGGGATTCTTACCGGCTCCCATTTCCCGAACTGTGGGGTAATGTGAGCGAATGACATGTTTTAGTTTTTTCTTTTTAACCAAATATTTTATTTTAGTTTCATATTTTTTCTGTGATTATCTAGTACCCAGATATGTGAAGCGTACGTTTATAACTAATAAAAATTTAAATTGCCTAAATTATGACTTTTATTGTCAATTTTCCTTAGTAGGCTCCCATTCGCCCACGCTCCCCTAATTATCATGCTTAATAAGTTCCTAGCGCACAACCAGATTCCTGATGTGTTCGCGGACAATTTGTCTCTACTCGTAGCTGCAACAGCACGCTATGTAAACTTAAATTATTATAAAACTAGGTAATCTTCTATTATATATTTCCAATTTATGCGTCTCATTTTCTTTTGTTATTAATATTTTGTTATTTTTAAGAAGTCATTATTATATCAAACTTAATTTATATTACTGGAAATTTGGGTTAACTTGTAAGTCCACAAGAGTCTTGTTATAAATAAATAATATAATGACGTTCTATTTTCTAGCGGAGCGCTACAGGCACAACATCCACGTAGGCCCTTCCCGGTACGTGCTCAGAGTTGAGTACGCGCACCATGCGGGAAATATTTACAACATGCCTCTGCGCAGCGATGACTTCGTCGTCTTGTCCTTCCCGCGATCAGGTTCGAACACTAAATAAAAATATTGAGCATTTTAAAACGCTTTTTAAAATAATGCCGCCTGTCGCCTTTGCCGAAATCACCAAGTCGAAATCTCGTCTGAAACGAAAACTGATCTGGAGGTGGTGGATACGCAGCCGCCGACACGTTGAAACTTGTTTAGTCGACTGTCGTTTGCCGAAGACGATTGAATCGACAGTGATTACACCTAGTCGGTTCGTTCTACTTCGGCAGCGAACTACGGTTGTCCAAATACCTAATGCAAACATATTATATACATTTTCTCTATAAGCAATAGAAGAGTTGCCAAATAACGCCCAAAAGAACTAGCGATGCGCTACTTTGAATTGTACTAATACTAATCATTCGAATGGGCAAATCATTCACCTAAGTCGAATCTAAGCATAATCATTCGACACGAGTTGAATGATTGTCGAATGATTATTATGTCCAAACTACTCGCAAATATAAATAATTACCCATGTCCCCGTCACATTTACGGTATTTACCATATGTGGAAGAGGGCTAAGCAGAAATGCTCTATGGAATCTATGGATTAGTAATGAATGATCATTTAGATCATTCGAATACGAAAATTAGTACTAATTTGTCAGTTGAATAGGTGGATTAGTAGTTACTAACGAGTCGTATATCGAAACCATTCGCAATCGCGCATCAATAAAAAGAACCAATTCTTTCCCTACTTAATTGTAGCTTTCCGTTATTACCCCTTATCAAGTATCGAGCTGATTTGATACTGTTAATTTTGTAATATACTTACTTATCTCAATTTACGATAACCTCGACAGCTCAAATTTCCGGTAGTACCAATTTGGAAAACGAAATTTCTGGGGGTCTGCTCCCGTCATCGAATACCTATATAACCAGAAATATAGACGAAATAAGGGCAAGACATTCCTGGTAACTCATCAGTACTAAACAATCACATCACTAATAAATATCAACTCTCGTTTGCACTGAAATATAGACCGCCGCCAACAACTGGCCTGGTGTACGTCTCCGTATATTCCAAAAATATTCTGTATTTATTATAATAAAGATAATATCTCTAACTTTTGGGGGGCTGTTCCATTCGGTGGTATGGGGAAAAACAGCACAACATCTAATTACAAAACAAACGGAATCAAATTTCATCGGTAATTAATTATGTAATTTTGCAATTTTCGTCCATTATAGTGTAAAGAGAAGCAATTAACGACACCCGTCAATTGTTTTGAATTCGGGCTGGCCAATCGGAGCGCAGTTGTCACAGTAATGATATGGCAGAATAGTTTTCAAACAAATGAAATGACATTTCGTCTCTATTTCTGTATAAATACTAGATGACTTCGGTTCTCCGTCCAACATCGGTCCGATACAATTATTGTAAAATAGGTAATACTCGACCAATAAGAGACACGCATGATTCGAATGGAGCTTCATACGTGACGTTGTTATTCGATGTGGTCGAGTATTACTTATTAGTAATTGTTTCGAATGGGTGGAGAACGTAAGTAGACGTGAGTGGTCTGGGTCGTACCCCGGAGTAAGCCATTGCTGTGGTACTCATAGTACTGGGTATTCAGTAATTTAGAGATCAAGAAATTGGTGTGGCGTCTGGTACATTATTTTATTTATCATTTAATTTTTCATAAGGACAGGAATCTTCATAAGCATATACGAGGGCCGGTTGAAAAGTAATCTACCCAAGTATGATATAAAAAACGACATAGAATAAGGAAATTATATTTGTTAGAAAGAGACATGAATTACCCACTCTGCTAAAAAAAAGTAGCTCATTTTTAAACATTCTTATTCTTTTCTTCCGCCATTTTGTCCATTCAAAGCATTGACTTACAATTATATGGACGTCGGGTCCGCGCTAAAAAGTGTCCGCACTTGTAAGGCGCTAAAATCGTATACAGAGCGCCAAACTCCGCTTTAGTCTTCATTTGTTCGACTGATAGCGCGATACTGCGATGACTTTACAATTTAAATTTCGAATAGGTTGACTTGGGACATTTTTTTCGTGGTTTTTGTATTAGACCCGTCGTCCATTTATTTGTAACTCAATGATTCAAAGCGAAACTTAATAAACAAAAGAGTGAGTGTAATTTTGAAAAAAGAATTAACAACGAATGCATCACGATAGAGCCCTGTATTATATTTTAATTGAAAATAGTCAAAAGAAGCCGCCCCTTGTATCTATAAAGTTAAACTTATTTATATAATAATTGTAAACTCTTCAATAAACAATATTTTTTATGTAGGAACCACCTGGACCCAAGAGATGGTGTGGCTTATCGCCAACGATTTGAACTTTGACAAAGCGAAGGAAGTGCCTTTGTGGAAACGATATTCGAGCGGTATAATAGAGTAAGTAAATTTTAGCTATATGAATTTGTTTGAGATTTTATAGTAAAGTTCCTTGTGAAAGAGTTCGTCCAGGGAAATACTGAGCATGCGAACATTACTGCGTTCCGGTTTTGAAAAGTAAGGGTGCTTGCTATTGAAAGTACAGGCACGTGGGACTTGTCAACTTATGTCTCAAGGTGACGGGCGGAGTGGCAGATATTTGCGATTCAAAGCTCTGAGTGGCACTGCAATTGTTATGCACAGGCGTGTCGCTTACCACCAGGTGCACGACTTGTTCGTCATGTCACTTAAATATTTTTTTTAATCCAGTGATGGGTCGAGCATGTAGTGCGCCTGGTGGTAAATGACACGCATAATAATTACAGTGCCATTCAGTGCCAGTTTCTCTTCTCTTCTCGCCTGTCATTTAATAAAACTGTTTTCAGATTGCAATTGGCTCAATTTTACTAGTAATCTTAGAATAATAACGCATAGAATGATAGTTTCATATCAAACGAACTGTCACAAGTGAGGCAAAAATCAAATTCATGTAGGCGTAAGCAACTTGTATCTACGCTCGTTGGCACGCACACATATATACAAATAATAATGCCATGGAATAACATTTCCCTCAAAAGTGTAGTATAAGTAGTATCTATTTTATGTTTGTCTGACGTATTTTTACATTCATTTACCGCACATTTCGTAATTTTTAGCTAAAATTTTGGAGCTGTTCGCGGTGCAAGTTGACCTTGAGCACTGAAGGCCCGCCCGCTCGTGTACGCCCATTGGGAGCGCTTCAATTTGCCTCACTTAGCGTGTGCGGACTAGGTTTCTATGCGTTATTATTCTAAACTAATAATCATTTTTCATTATCATCAACCCATTTATGTCCCACTGGGCACTAGTCTCTTCACAGACGAGGGTTTTAGGTCATAGTCCGCAATGCGGGTTGGCGTCTTCGCGTTTTCCGAGTGTCGTGAACCTCCTTCGAGATATTTCGTCATAACGTTTTCCTTCATTGACAACGTTTACATATAACCTGTTTATATTACATAATATATAATGTTTATATATAACCGTATATACATTTGAACTCATGCATAATATGTAAATGATAATGTCATTAATTGTACCTTAATGGAATAGACCGCTCATGATTGGTGTTTAAAGTTATAATATGTGCTTGTTTCATGAAATGTTTTTAGTGTAAATCTGTGACGGCTATTATGATCCGTGCCACGTGTGTTCTGTGCCGGATCCGCTGGAAATTAGCATCGTAGCACTTTCAGTGAGAGTACTGAGAACTAGTATCTATAGATTCTTGAATAAACCATGTTATACTGTTTCAGAAGGAGCGCATTCTTATCTCAGGAAAGAATTGAACAACTGAAGCAACAAAATGCGGAGGATCCTGTTGGTGCCCAAATTGTAAACGAATTAATGAAACCTACATATGAAGTTCTGGCTAACACAAAGTCTCCCCGATTTATCACGACTCATTTGCCTATTTCCTTGCTCCCTCCTGCCTTGCTGGACACCTGCAAGACAGTGTACGTGGCCAGGGATCCGCGGGACGTCGCAGTTTCGAATTACTTCTTATATAAAGACAACATTCAAGAAATTGTCAAGACTACGCCTTTTAAGGACTTCTTTGAATTGTTTGAAAAAGACCTTTGTAAGTATGTGGTAAAAAATTATTTTGAACCGACAGTTAAGTAAGATAACGTTTTAATTATTTTACTAAACATGTTTATTTATCTTATGTAATTAAGTTCGCTGAAATTTTTTTTCAATGCAATTAGTGGTATACGACGAATAGATAATTTGAATTAATTACGTGTACTTTCAACAGGGTTCAGGTGTCCTTACTTCGATCACGTAAAAGAAGCATGGTCGCAGCGGCATCACCCTAATATGCTGTTCATTTTCTACGAGGATATGTCCAAGGTTCGTTTCACCTACGATAGTAGATATCGCGATATTTTAAATTCAAAAATTAATTTAATTTTCTCAGTACTTATAGTGGTATATTCTGTATTAGAGCGGTTACACACGGAGACTTTCAGCAGCCAAGCAAACGGTATACACGCGATTAACTAATTTATTTATTAATTTCACTTTGAAATTCACAATTAACAAAACAAAATAACGTGCATAAACCTGTACAGATTTTTCGTACGTAATTATTCAATGTAAGCGACTGTATCGATGCAGTAGCGCGTTTGCATCGATGCAATCGTCTATAAATCGCAAGTATAGCGATGCAATCGCGCGTTTGCATCACTGTTAAAAGTCGCGGTGTGTAATCACTCTTAGAGCCTTGACCTCCTTAAAGCTGCTCACTTTGACGTTCTCATTATTTGTTCACTGTACGCTAATTTCTTTCATCCTCTCTCTTACCGTCTTCCCCTAAATTATAACTTTAATAAATGTATCGTTCAAAACTAACAATGGACGATAGGACCCTGGCAATGTACTGGGATGATGATGATCTTGTATTATTGTACCCTACATATATCACACGGATATACAAACGCATGCGGGTTAATTATTCTTAGGCAACCATTTATAATATACAATATTTTTTTATCTTCTTGTCCCAGTGTCCATTTCTCCACTGTCTGGTGATATCATAGCTTCAACAACATACCATAAACCTACGACTCCTCGAATGAACAGGATGTCAAAATCTTTACAAGGCTTATGTAAATTTTCTAGAGTTAATATTTTAGAGATTCAATATTTATTATCACCAACAGCATATTTTTTTTTACTGTTGTGTTGATTTAAATAAGTCAAAGTCAAAGATTATTTATTCCACAGGTAAAATAAATTTACACTTGATAACGTCACATTTAAGCTACTGCTGGTTCACTACGCTGACCTCCCTGAGAAGAACGAGCAAGAAACTCTAGG